CGCTTTGCGCCCGACAGTACCTCGAGGGTTAGTCCCCGCAATCGCGCGGGGGATACCTTGGTTTTCACCAAAAAAAGAAAGTCATCCTACCTTTCTAAGAATTTTCAAAAATGGTGATTTTCGAAAACAACGTGCCTAAATATGCATCTAGTATGCGGTTTTGAAAGTGATCCTTTCTTCATAATGGTGGTTTTCGAACACAAGCCTCTCTTTAGTAACTCCACGCCTCTATTCACTCTCTTTAAATAAGATGTCAACAACCCTATCTTCAATCTGTATAAATTTGAATTGATCCCCAATCCATGACTCCATCTATTTAGGGTTTAAACAAAGCCTTGAGATAGTTGAATTGACCTCACATTCATGGCTGGGTATCAAAGCTGAAACCTCCAGCTTGTGGTAATGCATCAATGAGCTCCCAGCATATATACATCATATGTTTCACATATATTAATATACATAATTTTTTTTTTTTGGCAAAAAACAGAAAAAAGAAAAAAAGATGCCTTGTTGGAATTAGCTTGAAACAAATACAAGATTGTGATGCTCTGTTAGAGTTAGCATGCAATATTCATTTAAGAATAAAATAATGTACTGCTCTATTATTTCTACGAAAAAAGAAAAAGCGTTTTACAACTTTTGTAAGGTGTATAAAAAAAACCTTAATTAGCAAAAACTAGTACAGTATTCCTACCTCACGACCTACAAAACAAAATTTCAAGCATCACGGTTGCAACACTTATAAAGCTTCAAAGGAAAGACAGTGCCCATAGATATATCAGCAAACTTCACGACGACATAAGCAGAGCAGGCATCCCATATATCATTCTTTTTTTCAAGTCCACACACATATCTTTGTAAACATCTGCTCAAGCAGCGGGTGCTTGTCCTTCCAATCTGGTATTACGACCACGACCACGGCCTCTTCCCCTGCCTCGACCGCGCCCTGCAAGACCTTCAAAGGACATCTACTATCAGATAATTGATTGAACAACTTAACAAGAATTCCAACAGTCCACAGATGAGTAGCAAAGAATACAGCTGAAAATAATGGCTAAGAATAACGACAGTGCAAAAGTTTCCACATCCTAAAATTTTTGCTGAGGAGAAATTCTGTTCAAGGATATTAGCAATAATAAAAGCATGTTGGCCAGGAAAGAGAGAGAGTAATGAAAAAACTAAAAAATTAACTTGACAGATCGAAAAATATAATGTCCTTATAACCAGGGCAAAACAAAAACCAAAAAGAAAACAGCTATAAATTATATCGATAAACTACATTATTAGTTACATGGAGAAAAATATACAGCCACTAACAGATTTACCTACAACGATTTCCATTTATTTCGACCAAAAAAATAAAAGATTTCCATTTACTACTGCAGGCCAAAGAACTAAGCGCACTTGCAGTCAGTCCAAAACAATAGAGCATAGAAATCACTACTCCAAGAACTTACCGCGACCTTGGGCAGGTGCACCTTCAACATAGTCATAGTATCCACCCGACTGACCATAACCTCTTCCTCGTCCCCTAAAAGAACCACCTCTTCCGCGGCCTCTACCTCTGCCACCATAACCACGCCCACCATCCCATCCATCTCCATGATAATCCCCAACCCCATTGTAGTTTCCTGCACACACAGTACCATGAACCAAAGAAAAACCCCGTGAGCAACTTTAGCCACTTGTAACGAAAGACATCAGGAAATCATCACAGGTAATGAGATGTCATTTATTTAAAAGGGAGAATTTCCAACTCCATTTCAGAGCTTATGAAGACACTCGTGACAAAAGTACATAAATAATTTTAGAGCAGAGAGCAATACCTCTATCCCTAGCTTGTCCTCGGCCACCACGACCCCTGCCTCGGAATCTAGGCGAACCCTCTGATTTTCATGAAATCAAATCATTATATGGAAGACACATCACAAACCAATATATTGAAGTTGTTATACCATAGAAGTAACTTCATAGACATAAACAATAACATATCATATCACCTCCATTATCCTCAAAATCATTCAATGGCTTCACTTGGTCAGCCGGAAGAGGGGGTTGGTATCTGTATTCCATTTCCAGTAAATAAAAGAAAATTAGGGATGCTCTAAAAACCATATAGGGATTCAAGATCATAGCTTAATCACACAGAATAAAAAAATTTCCAATGTATTTTTGTCCTGGATCCAGACACAATCTATCAAACCACATACTTACACAAACACCATGAATTTTATCACATAAAAACGCAATGTTTGTGTATCTCCAGGCTCTAGCTGGCTTGATATAATTGGAATTCTAGGCACCAATCACCAGTAATATTATTCCTCAAGACACATTGGACCTTATGCATGATTCAAGTGACATAATAAAAGTTACCAAATTTAAAAAAGTAAAAAACCAGATCACTTATGACCTGAATGGGGCACTCATGATACACCATAAATACACCATCCACTACATAGCATCCAAACAGAAATCTAAATGACTTACCCTGTAGAGGATGTATGAAGCTCCGTCTTCGACAAAGTAATAGTGATCATTGAAACATGCCGAGTACTCTCTACACTGCAGCAGTAGACACAACCACTTAAATCAATATCAACAGGGAAACAAAAAGTTCACATCAGCATACGCTTAGAAACATATAAGAGTATATGGTTTCATACCGATCCAGGCCTTCTTCCAGGGGCTCATACACGTCGGTAATATCAGTTGATCCAATTGAAGTATTCTGATGGAGACCAACAATCCTTCTCTGGAAGTAGAAGAGCTTTATCAGCAAATAAGTATAGACACAAAGCTCATGCACACATGAAGCACATGTATATGCCACACGGAAAAATCACAAGTTATCTCACCTTTATTAGTTCAGCAATCATCACAGTTTTATTGATAGCTCTGCCCATTGCCTTGAGAATAATTTCATCAGACCCTTTCTCCTACAGAAGATACAAATATGCTTAGAAACATATAAGAGTATACGGTTTCATACCGATCCAGGCCTTCTTCCAGGGGCTCATACACGTCAGTAATATCAGTTGATCCAATTGAAGTATTCTGATGGAGACCAACAATCCTTCTCTGGAAGCAGAAGAGCTTTATCAGCAAATAAGTATAGACACAAAGCTCATGCACACATGAAGCACATGTATATGCCACACGGAAAAATCACAAGTTATCTCACCTTTATTAGTTCAGCAATCATCACAGTTTTATTGATAGCTCTGCCCATTGCCTTGAGAATAATTTCATCAGACCCTTTCTCCTACAGAAGATACAAGTATTTTAAGGCAGAGCTGAAAAAGGGATTTAATGTGGAAAAATACGAACCACCCACAGAAACAATAGGAGGCAGTTGAAGTTGCAACTTCTACCTCAATTGTGAAACCCCAAAGCAAAAAAGTAACTAATATGCATATAGAACTACTGCAAATTAAACATGTGACAATACTTGGACCGGAAGAGAGGGAAAAGTAGATTTGCAATCAAATAAAAACTTAATCCAATCTACGCCCAAAAATGTGTAGGATTAAAGTTTCACATGGATATCGGAAACAAGTGGTAGTTTTTAGGCAAATAGAGGTTAGAACTTGTCAGACATAATACAAACCCCATTCTCACGTTTGCTGGATGTATAAATCATAAATGTTAGCGTCAATTTTAATGTTTCCACCTACGAAATAGTTCATATTCATTTCATCCTTCTTTGTTAGACTTCCAGTCCCCAAAGATCGTTTAAATGTCATCTTTTTTGTACAATTCAAAACCATGAGAGACCTGCAGAATTAATAGATATAAACAATTTGGAAAGTTGACGCAGAAAAAAGAATTACATACTCCAACATAATAGTAATTTTCGTTCAAGGGCAGAAGTTTTTTTCTACAAACACACAAAGTGTTGTACAATATGAACAAAACAAATGAGGAAACAAAAATAATAAAAAGGGCATGTTTGTGGTTGGCATAGCAGTGAGGAAAAAGAGGAGGAACCTGAAGGAGAGTGGTGGCGTAAGTAATATAGTTCCTCATTCTGCCTTGAGCGGTTATGCGAATCTCATTCTCATTTATAGGCGCCGCCTCGGCCTTGGGCTTCTCCACCCTCTGGAACTTATCCATCTGCTCTGCGCACCCAAAAAACCAAACAACAAACAAACCCTAATGAAACGGCATGAGCAAGAGAAATAGAGTGAGAGAAGATATGAATCAGGGGTAGGTGTTACCGTTTTACAGAAGAGCGCTGGGAGGGAAGAATCTGCAACAAGCTGCCGCTCGGCAAAGCAAAAGCAACCACTGCGTTTTGTGTGTGGTTTAGGTTTTTTTTTTTGTTTTTTTGGTTCTCTTCGTTTGGGGTTTGTTTGTTCGGCTTTCAAAAGCCTTGTGCTTCAGATTTGAAATTACGTCCCAAAAGCCTCCTGTTTTGTGCGGTTTTGGATTGACTTTTTATATAATTGGTTTTTTTCAATGAGGGATTTTTTATATAATTGTTTTTATTTTTAATGAGGGACTTTTTATATAATAAAAGCCTAATTTTAAATCAGATAACTAATAATAAAAAATAAATAAATAAGAAATGAAACTATAGAAAGCCGAAGAAAATGGCTGGCCAAAACCAAATTGCAAATTGCCAAATTTAAATCAGGATCAGATGATTTCTGAGAGAGAGAGAGTGTAGGGCTTTTCCGGTCGCGCTCTAATCGCCACCAAGACCGCTAATTCCTATTTTAGATTATGTCCAACGATCACAATTTGGAGCTCCCAAATGGCAAGTAGATGTTCTTACTTCTTTCAGAAATAAAAACTAGACTCTCTTGCCAACCCTAGCTTAGTAAAAAAGGGTCTTATATCCGAATACTCATGTAAGTGTAACAAACTCCTTTCCTTTTCTTAATTTTTTTTATATACAAAAACTAGATACTTGGCACGTGCGAAGATAAAAAGTAAAAAGTAGTGGACTGGGTTGTTAACTGTTAATTAGTTTTAAGTTAATTAATTTTAAAAGTTTGTTTTACTATTTTACCCTTAAAATATTACATTGTGGTTGTTTGGCAGATTAATTAACCAACGATAAACCCTCCCCTTGTAGTTAGACCATCGCTTCAGGGGAAATTATTGTCTCGTGATAACCGAACTAAGCTTTTAACAATAACATTACATTATACTTACAAAATAGTATAAACATGATTAGACAAGAGTAAAAAAAAAAACACTCCAGTTAGTCATCCGAACAGTTCTTTTTACAGTTAAGCTAAAACAGGCCGTAAGCTTTTATCTCAACCTCAGGAAAAGATACGCCTGAGTTTCACACCTACGGATTTCACTAGCGTACCCCTTAGAATTGTTCAAAGATAGTATTTATCAAGACACAGCTAGAAGAGCAACAGTATCACAAAGATGAGAAAGATCCTGTTCTATTGGCAATGAGGTCCTTGATTTTGTCATCTTCAATGTCGATCTAAGGTTACATGTCAAGGAAAGAGGCCATGAGAGAGAGATGATACACAAAGATGACAAAAAGAAAGGCGAGGAAAGGAGAGAGAGAGAGAGATGAAGTTACGCAAGAATGAGGGAAAAGAAGACACGAGTGAGGATGAGATTAGACGCGCAGATGGGGTTCAAAAACCAGATCAGTCTCGGCCAATTCATTTTGGTGGGTTGGCCTTCTGTTTTTCCCACCCCTAGTTGGTATCTTATGGGTTGGTGTCTCCGGCGCTACACATTGTTTGACGACGCCATTCCCAAAGGTGAAAATAGATGGAGCAACCAACACAAAATTACACACCACACTTTAACGGGGAGTTGGTAAGATTAAAAACACCAGCACAGATAAATTGAACTCTTAATATTAGTTAATGATATAAAACAGACGGTTGGAGTACAAAATTACACACTTTCTTCAACCAAGTGAGTGTCATGCATTCGATGTAATCATACATGTGTAAGGATCGGAAAACTAGGAAATTTTGTATCCTAAAAGGGCAAAGAAATGACTAGCTGTAAACTAAAAACACCACCACGAAGACACTTCAACTCCATTCTAAACTCCAAACCTGGCCTCGTACACTTGCGGTTGCTGCAGCAGAGACCAAATGTCAATGAGAAATGATATAATTCATTTAATTAAACAGGTACAACAAAGAACTCCAAAAGGTAAAGTCAATGCATCTTGTAAAACCTATGGATTCAAAATCCATCAGGGAGTTCAGTTCTAGGTGTGTCCATAAGGTCTTTAGTACTTTATTATTTTAGACCCACACAAGAATTACCAAAAGCATATTTGACATCAGAAATGGAAAAATAAACTTCCGTCAGGGGCAAGGTACATTACCATGAACAGGGCTGAAATCTGCCTGCCTGCAAACCATCTCAAATGCATAGATTGTTGAGCTGCAGCTGCTGCTTCCACAGTTTCAAACCGCAAATACACAAAACCAGCAGTGTTTCTGCATTTAAACAAAACAGAGGATGGAAAAGAACTTCTCAAATTTTGAAATCCACATCTTCCTCTCCCATATCAAACATGTATGCAGACACATGCTTGCAAGAATAGCCTGTGTACTCTAAGCAGTTGTCCGCTTCATCAAACTGAAATAATATCGGAAAATGGAGAGCATTCTAACAAAACCTTTGTTTCTTAACCAGGAAAATATTAAAATATTTCATTACTCAACGTAACTAAACTTATGTTCGAGTTCTCTATGACATAAGGGTTTTGAGTAGCTATCCAATCCTCCTTTCCCTCTACAGTTTATGCTTAGAAAGTACTATAAACACACCAAAGGATTTTAAAAGGGGGCTCCCTCAAGGCTAATAAAGTGACAAAAGTAACAATTTACATTATTAGATGCAAGATGCAAATGTGCCAACTAAGGTTTTGACTAGTGCAATACGTAAGCTCATCTTATCAATTTGTGTTGAGGCAGGTGAATTTCTAATGAACCAGACACACCTGTCCAACCGAAGCAGGGAGATGCAGGTTGGTCCTTGTCCCGCTCTTAAATGTTTAAAATATTTTCAACCTCCCCAGATTACTTTGGTGTAGTGGCCCGGTCACAAGTGTTTTAAACCGACCCAGCCAGCACATCTAACACCCAATACATGCTCTTATTCTTGACCCTAATCCATATTTCCCATCCCCAGCTGCCAACACCTCCGATTTCTAGGGATGGGCAATGGGTACCAACCACCACCACCACTACCTAGTAGGTACCCCATCGCCCATCCCTACTAGTTTCTCTTCTCTAAGTCTTCCCTCCCATCAAATCTCACCAGCCATTCAATGACCCCTATTGAATTTCATTATCCGCGGTGCTTTATCTATTGGATTTTTTTTTTACTGTTGGAGAATAACAAACTCAATATGCGCTGCATGCTTGATTTTATGTCCAATGGGAGATTGTTTTTGTTCAGTATGTGCTTCATGCTTCATATTTTTCCTTTGCACCCCGTCTTATGGTCTCTCTCCCTCTCTCTAACAGCCTGTTTTTTTTTTTTTTTTTTTTT